TTTTTTATATTTTTTTATAAATAATAATAAACAATTTGATCATAAAAAACTTTGATTTTTAAGAATAATGAAACGATTACATTTGAGAATAAAAATTACATATTATTTAATTTCCACCCAGGAGTCGATAACGACCAGTGGTTCTGCACCCGCGTCCTCTTCTAACTCGTTGTGTGACTCTACGATTTTTCTCTTGTGATTGGGTCAAGGGCCCTACGAAGTCAATACGTCCAGTGTCCATGAAATCCGTCATATCACCATATACGGAAGACCTACTTTCAAACAATTGGTACCCATGTTCTCAAAGTTTGGTTGTCTTGGTGGGGGGTGGGTTCTATGGGTGGTCGATAGCACTGGTCATCTGAATAAGTGGGGTAAAAAGGAAATGAATCTTGTGGAGTTTGGTACTCATATGTTTGTTGGGTCCTATGGTGATATGATGAATGTGATGGTTGAAGGTATATTGGGTCGATTGGGGAATATTCTTCAGGTAGGCCCATGTCTAGGCTAAGGTGAGATGATGAGGGACCCACATTGAGATGTCAGATGTATGGTCTTTGTTCTTGGTACTGTGATTGCATGTAGGGCATGTGTGTGTATTGATATTGGTATTGGTATTGGGATTGGGGTTGGGTTCTTGTGGATCTGTAACGTCGTTGTGTTGGTTAAGAGGTTGTTGTGTGTTGGGTTTGTTGTTGGGTGGTGTATGATTGTTGGTAGTTTTGTTGGGTATTTGAATACGATGCAGATCGTGTGCGTGGGTCAATCAAATACCTCGGGTCAGACACAAACATTTCAGGGTTAGTTACTTATCTACCAACTCAAATATTCATATGTGTGTCGCATTGTTTGGTTCGCGGGGGCAATAGGGAATCGTAGCACATATCGCTAACACCTCTTCCACACCCCACACCACTCCATATCATATTCTTTCTAATTGTTAACATTCCACTGGGATAAACAAGTTAGGGCACACGATATTTCTTGATGCATACCGAACTGCATTTTGACACGGTCGCTGTGGTGCATCTCCATAATGTTGAACCGTATGATCGTAGTTTTTGCAGCCCAAACTTCTGCATCCTCAAGGTTGGGTTGATGGTCAAGATCCATATATGTCTCCAAATAAATTGCAGATAAAATTTTATTATAATAATAATATCTTTAAAAATAAATAACTTAAAAGAAGAATAGTTTAGTGGTAATACGTCATCTGGTCTTATATGATCCAAAAGATTACGATATAAACTGGCATTTCGTCTCATATTTTTGTTGTAATATATCCCTCTTACATAAAACCTAAAGCATAGAGAGATTAAAAGAATTATGTACATCCATTTAGCATAAAGTGAGAAAATGGAAATAGCATTATATACTTACTTTGTTGCATAGGGGAACATGAAGGTGTTGTTGTTGATGGGGGGAAAGGGACTCCATTCTCCACTAGCCCCATGTTACGAGATTCAACTGACATAACCACAAGTTCATTGTCAAAGAGACAATTGACCACGACGAGGGGTTACTAAGACAAAAGTATAAGGTTCTACTACCATCTTGTTTGTGCGATTGCAGAAAGTTTAAGGCCTTTCGTATGCCTTGCTCCCATGTCATTACAGCATGCATGTATGTTCATCAAGATGCATTACTACTTCTATCTTTCGCTTACAAGGCCGAGACCTTGCTCAAAGTATACAACAATGGCTTTCTAGTGAAAGCAAAAGAGGATTATTGGTTTGCGTACGAAGGGAAAATAGTTTGGCACAACGACCAAATGCGAAGTAATAAAATGGATAATTCCAAAAGCTAGAAGAAAGTGTATTACAACTGAAATGGACGCGCTTGACAAGCTAGAAGAAAGTGTGGTATATGCCGTCAGGTCGGACATAACCGAAAAAATTGTCCCACTTGTGCTACTAGCTTGACAACATAAAAATTATACGCACACTATGTGATTTTTTTTAGATCTAAACGAAACTTTTTTTCATTAAGAACGTTTGTTGCAACAAACCGAATGCAAAGAAGAAATAAAATGACATCAAGACAAAACAACAACACAATGAATAAAGTTAGTTAACACGACAAAATATCTAAGAAATTACAATCTTCAAAACAATTTCATCTGATCCATACATCATCACTATTACGCCTGTGTCTGTTTTGACATCCTCCCGTCAACTTTGAGGTTTTTCCGATTGCAAGTGAGGTGGTCGTTCATTGTCTCTGAATTCTTCTAATTTGTTCGCTATCTTGGATGTCCTCGTCTAACCATCAGATCAACTCTCTCTTAAGATGCTCCAAGAAATGGATGTGCCAAAATTTCATCTTAATTGGGAGTTTGGTAGTCGAGAAATAAACATATTCATCTCTTGTGAAAATCATGTTGGGTGTCATGATGAAAAAATTATGGAGAAAGTGAGAAAATGAATGAAGAAGTGTGGAAAAATGAGAGTTTTATTTATAGAAAATACATATACATGTAGGAGTCAAATGAGATGACGTCTCCTCTTAAAATTAGAGTGCATGCGTCATCTCATATGACTGATAGACAATGCACGCATTATCTCATATGATGTCTACATACAATTTTAGATGCATATACCATATGAGATGACGTAATCATGTTAACCATTTCTAAAACATAATTATTTGTGTAATTTTTTCAAAAAAGTTGTTATTAATATATTTTTTTCAATACCTTATTATTCCAAAAAAAATTGAATTTCACATATCAAAACAAAAATTAATTTTAATAAATCCAAAGCTTAAAATATAAAACCACCTCAAATGGAATTGCATATTTACATTTGTGAATTTCCTTAAAAACTGAAAATAATAAAAAGATCATTTTAATTCCAATTACCCAAACATATTTTATTTAAAAAATTCACAACACTACAAACGAGGCTTTAAATACTTCATTTAAAATAAAATCTGGATAAAAATTTGAATCATGAACTCTTCTAACAACACATCAGACATGAGTTATGATGCTACTAGTACTTACTGCATCGAGCCCCAGCAGTAGATTTGTTGTGCGGGAACAGCAGGGCATGATTACAAAGAAGATCCGTACAAACATGGAGACAAGTCTGTCAACTACTTAACTTAAGACTATGCATCTGTCTAATTACCTTTTATACACCTCTATCTGTTTAATTAATATACATAAATTAATTTTTATACATTTATATTAGATAAAAGATCACGGCTAAAATAATATTTAAAATTATCTACTTATAAAAAAATGAATAATTATGCATGATGAGTGTAAAAATTTAAACACTATCAATTTATCACCATTATCTATTTATATTAACTTATACTCCCTCCGTTCTGTTTTATATTATAAAAAAAATTTATTTTTTAAATTTATTAAATAATTAATGTATTTAATTTATATATAAATTAAATTTAATAATTATTTAATAAATTTAAAAAAATAATTTTTTTATAATACGAAACAGAAAGAATAAGTGATTAAAATAAAAATTAAAGTTCTTCTAAAATCCAACTTCCATGATTAATTAAATGTAGATTTTAATAAACTGTAAACTAGTTTAAGAACATATTTATATATCTACGCCTTCATTTTCTTTGTATTTGTAATTTTTATATTTTAGAAACATACCAAAATGATATGTAAATTTTGTTATTTTCAAAAAATATATAATTAATATAATTGAATTTTTTAAAAAATAAATATTTATAAACGAAAAAGTTATTGCAAATCTGATACTAAAATGAAAGAAATAAAAAAATGTATTATATCAACTTAGTATTCTCTCTATTTTAAAATAACTACAGTTTTAATAAATAAATTATCTTTTAAAATAATTGTTATTTTCATTTTTTAGTGTAATAATAATAATTATTTTTTAATTGTGTTATTTATTTTTTACTTTTTACACTATTTCTAATATATTAAAAAGATTAATTTTATAAAATTATAATATTTTATAACAATATCATTGTATTATTTAATTTGTGTGTAAAAATTTTAAACGATAATCATTTTAAAATGGAGAGAATATTTATTATTACTGACTCGTATTATTATAATAAAATATTTTAATGTTAAAATAAAATATTTTAAAAATTAATTGTAATTTTTAATTTATAAACTTATTTAAAAATTATCAATGCACAATTAAGACATATAAATTAACTAAATCTAATTATAATTAATGCAATTACTTTATATTTATTAAGAAAATAAAAATAATTGTTTCGACATGCCAAATTTGACTATTATATCTGAGATATTGTTCATTTTATATTTGAAATTTTTTAAAATAAAAAAGTAGTCTTGTTGAATGAATTAGTGTATTGTCACAAGTTTTTTTAAATGTGTTTCATTGGATTAGTTTAGATTATTAAATAATATGAGATGGTAACCATAGTTTTTTTTATTACGTAAATACTCAGTATTTTCTATACTATTGATTTTTATTTCATTTCAAAAAATTAATGGATACTTTTTTCACTAGAAATTTTATCTATGCCTAAATTTAAAATGTTAAAAAACAATAAGTGACCTCGAGAGCAAGGAAGATCGGCACTCGCCTCGAAAATTGAAATGAAAAAAAATAATACTAGTAATAAAAATATACACTCTTTGTCAAGATTTTTATTTACTTTTAGTAAAAAAAGTACTAGTACTTCTGAATATACATAAATGTAAAAGTATTTTATATATTACTACATATATTCGAGAAAAAAATACAGTATTATTGAAAGTAGAGCTTATTCAAAAACCAAAAAAAAAAAAAAAAAGTTAAGGTTATTCACTTAGCCACCTAGCCACCTAGCCCCACCCATCCGTGCAATGCAAAGATGAAAAATAAAATAAAAAAGTCCACAGCAAAACAACAAAAATAGGAACAAGCCTTTTCCAGAAACAAACCAAACCAGCCAGCCACACCATATCTCTCTCTCTCTCTCTCACTCTCAAATATCTCTCACACCACACCAAACCCAAAACTTCACACAAACCCAAAAACATGAAGCTACCATCCAAAACCATTTCAAGCCCAGCTCGCACAGACAAATTCCCTCCACCATTAATGCGTTTCTTAAGAAGCAATGCATCAAGTCGGAGCAGAAGATCAAAATCAAGCCCCATGTTCGTTCTACGCAAGAAAAACAACAACAACAACATTGAAACAACTCAAGAACCTTCTTCCCCTAAAGTCACTTGCATGGGTCAAGTCAGAGCCAAACGCTCCTCCAAATCAAATCCCACTCACCGCACCTGGATTAAAAAGCCCAATACATGCAGTTGTCGCCCCGTTTGGCCCATATGGGCTTTCTTCCACAGAAAATCACCTAAACCAAAACAACCAGATGAGTTTGTTTCTATTTCTATTTCTAATAGTAATATTAAGAAAGAGATTTTTAGTGTTGGTAATTATAATCAAAATCAAAATCACAATCACAATCACAATGCTATCCCTTCAGCTTCAACTTCAACTTCAAACGCTTGTTCTCCTCCCAAGAACGCTTTACTGTTAACACGCTGTAGATCCGCTCCGTACAGATCTTCTTCACTTGCCAGTAGGTTTTGGAGTTCACCTTTAAGGAACGAAGAAACGGAGTCTACTTCCGATAACGAGAAATCGAGTTCGCAATCGCTGAATAGAGACTCGGTTTCTGAGGATTCCGTAGGTACTGAGAGATTCGGTTCTGTTAGGGATTTCGAAAATGTTGAAGAGTTGTTATTGAAGGGAAGGGTGAAAAAGGAAGAAGATGAGGATTCTGCGGTGGTGGCGCGTCCGCTTGTACTCACTCGGTGCAAATCGGAACCGGCGAGAGTAGATTACAGAATTGACCCTGAGGTAAATAGTATGTGGAAAAAGACAAGGTTGGGTTTTGCTGTTGCTTCTTCTCCTCTCCACGTACTTTCTGATTAATATTTATTATATTATTATTACTTTATCTGCAATTAATTTTTTTTCATTTTTATTATTACAAAATCAGTTGAATATAATAATTAGTTTTTTTTTTCTTGTTGCTTTGTGTTGATATAATTGCTTGCTTTGTACACCTGAAGGTGTGTACGAGTTTATTTAATCTGTTTCTTCTGGAAACGTAAAAAGGTAGTGATGTAAGTACGTTTAGAAAAGTCACACACAATACTTACAGCTTTACATTTAAAATTTCAGATATATTTGTACTACAATAATTCAAATGTATTAAATTGGAATAAACAAATTAATAATTTCCCTTATTTTTACTTAAAAGTAAATCTCTTTTATATTCTCTTTTTACAATTTGGTGCATCTTTAATATTAGAGTCAGTTATAAGATCGTAGTATAATCGTTCGCATAACTATTGATTATAGTTCATAAGAAAAACTATTGTTTATCGATTAAAATACTAAGTAGAACTATATTAATTAAGAGTATTTTTGAAAATAATAATAATAATAATAATAATAATAATAATAATAATAATAATAATAATAATAATAATAATAATAATAATAATAATAATATATCTATTAATTTAAAAATAACATGCATTTATATTTGGGAACAATTTATTTAGAAAAAAAGAATTATGCTTTTTTTAAACCAAAATAATATAGACTTATGTTTTATGGATACACAAACAAGAGTTGTCATCAAATTTACATCAAGTGGAGTCGACTATATGGACTTGTACCATAATGTTCTATTTAGAATTGTCATCAAATTTATTAATCCAAAACATTTTTAAGAATTAAATATATTTTAGTTCATGCAATTATATAACTTTTTATTTTAATTTTATAAAAATATTTTGTTTGTTTGTTTTAGATTTTATAAATATCGTTAGAAATCTATCAAAATTTATAGAGAATTTCTATCAATTTTGATGAATGATGTTGTTATCACTACACAATAACGATAAAAAGAAAAGAAAATTAAAGACGAAAAAAGATTAGAATTTCTGTAGAGTTTCTCTCTGTCTACAAACTGTGGAAAATCTTTGTTCACTTACAACTGTAAATTATGTGATTACTCTTTCTGAGTTGGTTACAAAAAATAGAATTTACTCCCTCTATTTATAATGAACATGTTTTTTCCTAAGCCAAAAAGCCCAAAGTTACAAAAGTCTAAAATACCTATTTCAGACCTAAATCGAAATACTGTGGAAAACAACCTGCTTCGACACTTTGACGGCTAATACAACTCGACACACTTCGATACAAATTAGTTTTGACACACCTTGTGTCAAGTAACATGCTACTTCGACACAAGGATTTGCACTTTCAACACACCACTTAATTCATTGTATCTAAGCAATTTATATTCATCATAACTCTTAGTCTTCTGAACACTTCAACCTGCACACCTTTCATGATGTTTGTAATCTGATTCTCAGTTTGCAATGTTTCGAGTTCATCTTCCCATCTGCTACCTGGTCTCAAAGATAATAGAACCTCATCTCGATGTGCTTGCTTCGACCATGTAATATCGGGTTTTTCGCCAGGTTGATAGTTGATATGTTATCGATCTTCATGGTAATTGCTCCATCATTTTTCTCTGTGATTTCTTCGACCAAGTTCACCATCCATGTTGCTTGACATACACAAGGAGAACCGACCATGTATTCTTCTTCATACAATGATAATGCCAGTACTGGTTCTTTTCTCGAACTCCAAGCAACTAGTGCACCGCCTAGCATAAACACATATCCTGTTGTGGATTTTCGGTCTTTAGCATCACTACACCAACTTGAATCAGTGTACCCCACTAACTTGCATTCTTTTCCTTTATCATCTACAGGAAATAAAATGCCATAGTCAAGATTTTCTTTCAGATACCCCAATATCCTCTTCGTCGCTGCTAGGTGTGATACCTTTGATTTCTACATGAATCTACTTACCATACCTACAATGTATGCTAAGTCAGGCCTTGTGTGACAAAAGTGTTTTAATGACCCAATAAGTCTTCTGTATTGGGTTGGGTTGACATCATCTTCCTCTGCATCTTTCGACAGTTGTAACCTTGGTTCAACAGGTGTCGAAGTCGAGTTGCACTCTTCCATCCCGAATCTCTTGAGAATTTTTCCTGCATATCTTCTTTGATGCATCATCAAACCTCTACTACTTGTAGAATTCGATGCCAAGAAAATATGAAATGTCACCCAGATCCGACATTCAAATTCCTTGCTGAGATCACCTTTGAAGTCTTTAATCTCATTCTTACAACTACTTGTTATGAATAAGTCATCGACATAGAGACATAGTATAAATAATTTACTATTGCTTCTTCTTACATATACTCCATGTTCAGTTGTGCACTTCACAAATTACTTTTTCCTTAGAAAATTATCAACTTTCTTATTCCAAGCTCTTGGAGCTTGTTTCAATCCATACAAGGCCTTATGTAGTTTATACACCTTTCTCTCTTTGTCATGCTTCACAAACTCAATTGGTTGTGCAACATAAACTTCTTCGTCTAAGGATCCATTCAGGAATGCACACTTCACGTCCATCTGACATATGTGCCAACTGTTCATTTATGCTAGACTAACAATCAACTTGATTGTTTCGATTCTAGCCACAAGTGCAAACACTTCATCAAGTCGATTCCTTCTTTCTGAAGAAATCCTTTTGCCACAAGTCTTGTCTTGTGTTGAGTTACTTCCCCCATGGAATTGAACTTCACCTTGTATACTCAATTTACATTGATTGCCTTCTTGCCTTGAGGAAATTTGACAAGTGAATAGGTGTTGTTGTCTTCGATGGGATTTACTTCTTCATTCATTGCTTTCACCCATTTCGAATCCTTTAATGCTTCAGCTGCATTGACTGGTTTGACATTTGCACAAAAAGCATAATATACCAGCTCACCTTCATCATCGACTACATCATCTAGTGTAATCACACATTCTTGCAACCTTGCAGACATGTGTCTTATTCTCTGAGGCCTGCTTGTACTTGGTTGATCTCTAACTTCCTCTTGTTGAACTTCTCTTTCGACTTGAGTTTCTGGTTCTTCAAGTAAGGTTCTCACTAAATCTTTCTTGACATTTTCAGTCCAATCTCATTCTTTAAGCTCATCTATGATCACGTCTCTGCTGATCACAATCTGCTTGTTCACTGGATCGAATAACTTGTAACCTCCTGTCAAATGATATCCAACTAGGATCATTTGATTCTACTTGTCATCAAGTTTTCTTCTCAACTGATCTGGCACATGTCTATATGTTGTAGATCCAAACACTTTCAAATGACTTAAGTTAGGTTTAACACCAGACCAACATTCTTCTGGAGTAATTTCTTCTAGCTTCTTCGTCGGACATCTGTTCAAAATATATGTTGCAGTCAACACAATTTCACCCCAAAACTCTTTAGGTAAATGCTTGCCTTTCAATATAATTCTCACCATATTTATGATGGTTCAATTCTTTCTTTTTGTAGTTCCATTCTATTGTAGAGTGTAGGGTGGCAGCACCTCATGCATAGTCCTTTCTTTCTCACACAACCAATCAAATTCTTTCGACACATATTCTCTACCACCATCATTTCTCAAAACTTTGAGCTTTCGACCACTTTGCCTTTTGACCATGGATTTAATCTTGACAAATACCTCGATCACTTCACTTTTCTTCTTGATCAGGTAAGTCCATAATTTTCGACTGAAATAATCTAGGAATGTGACAAAGTATTTGATACCTCCCATCTAATCCACTTGGATTGGTCCACATACATAAGAGTATATGACTTCAAGGATTGCCTTCGACTTGCTTCATGCATCCTTGCTGGAGTTTCTTGTGTTGCTTTGCCTGCACACATTCCTCACACACCTCATTTGGAATGTTGATTTCTGGTAATCCTAAAACCATATTTCTTCTTTTCAAATCTCTGATGTCTCTGAAGCTCAGATGGTCAAGTCGATAATGCCATATTCACTCATCTCTGCTAGCTGCAGTTTCTAGGCCTTTGTACTTCATAATATTTAGTTTGATCTTTAAGGTCTTATTCTGAGACATAAGAGCCTTCAAGATTAACCTTCACCTTGCATCGATGACTCTCATCATCTTGTCTTTGACTGACACTTTGTAATTCTTTCCGACCAACTGCCATATGCTGAGCAAGTTGCTCTCCATGCATGGTATGTATAACACGTTATAAATTACCGACCTTTTACCATCTTTCCTCATAATCAGAACATCTCCAATACCTTCAGTTGTTAGAGTATTGTCATTTGCAAATTTTACCATGTTCTTGATTGAGGGTTTTAGGTGGACAAACCAATCTCTCCTTCCAGACACGTGTGATGAGCATACTTAATCCAAGTACCATTGGTTCTTGAATTTCTCTTCATCTCTTGTTGTGACCATCAATATCATCTCTTATTTTTCATACTTTACGAACTTTGCATCACTTTCTTGATTATTTCACTTTTCTGAATAATCACTAGAATAATGACCATACTTCTGATAATTGTAACACTGAATGTGACTCTTGTCAGGTTTTCGACCACCATCTCTTCCTCTATATCCAACACCACCTCTTTGGTTGCCTTGGTATGAGGGTCTTTTCTGACTCGACACAATTTCTTCCTGCTAGTTTCTTCTATCAGTCGAATTGTTGTAGCCACCTCTATCTTTATCGAACCACTTTCCTTTGCCTTTACTTTGTCTTGTTGACTGCGCATGAAAAGCCACATCACTCTTCGACTTGTATGTAACTCTTTTAGCCATTCTTTATTCATGAGATTCAAGCGTCCCTTGAAGCTCTTTCTTCGATAAAGTTGACATGTCCTTCGACTCATCTATGTCCACTGCCACATGGTCGAACTTCGAAGCCAAAGATCTCAAGATCTTTGAAACAACAACTCTTGTTGTTAACGTCTCTTCATAAACCTTGATTTGATTCACTAGTTTTGTAACTCTAGTGAAGAAATCAAATATGCT